GTGTGTGGAGCGGGGTGGGAATGATTCTTGCTGTAAGGATTTGTTCCCTCTTTTGAGTTACTGCATCCATAGGTGTAGGTCAAGTTCATCAAATTGTGTCAGATTACTCCTTTTTTCCTCATCTTTCTCCTTCTGGTTGAGCTCTGATCATCCAGTCATTGAAGTCAGGTCAAGTAGGTATTATCTGCAAGTGTGGGTGTTCTTGTGCATATGCCCTCTCTTTTTATCAGCTGCATACTTCACTCTCCACATTGTAGGGCTTAGCTCGCCACTTCATTGCTGTTTTTCCCTCACTTCCCCTTATCGATGACGAGCGTGGTCACTAATCAGAGCGTGTATTCCCATTGAGTCTTATTCTTGGAAGGGGGTTTGCACTGAGGGGACCCGACCACTTGCCTTGATGTTTTCTGGGCAAGCAATTTGTTTGTTCTTGTAGTAACTATTGTTTTGTATTTTTCCTGCTATGTAATATTTTTATATTAGCTTATTAAATGGCTGTCTTAGTTATCAAATGCTGCTATAACAGAACTACCACAAATGGATGACTCGAACGGTTAACCAGAAGTTTCTCTCAGTTTAAGAGGCTAGAAGTCTAAATTCAGTGCCTGGTTTTTGGGAAAGTTTTCTCTTTGTTGGTTCTGGGGAAAGGTCCTTGTCTTTTTTCAGCAGCTGTAGGCCCATGGATTCCTTGGGGAGCTCCATACATCTTCACATCAGTCTTGCTCTGGATCTAGGAGCTTCACAGTACAGGGACCCCAGGTCCAAAGGACATTCTACACTCCTGGCTCTTCTGTCGTGGTGACAGTAGGGCCCTCCTTTGTTCAGTTCTTGCTCCTTTTATTTTTTGTAAGATAAGAGGTGCTGCATGCCATACCCTTGGGAACTCTCGGAATTCAGATCAGGGTGGTTGTGGGATTGGTGTTGCACTGTAGAATGATGCATAAGGTCAGTTTGACTCACCAGGTTGGTGGTTCAAATTCACCAGCTGCTCGTCAGAAACCCTGTACAGGGTTGCTATGAGTTGGAACCAACTCAATGACACTTAATAACAGTCGCACTCTTGGATGGTGTGGCTCCATAGGATAAGCAGTGGACTGCAAGGTTGGTGGTTCAAACTCACCAGCCACTCCTCAGAAACCCTATACAGGCTCACTGTGAGTCGGAATCGACTCAACAGCACTTAACAACATGAACAACATCCCACTCTTGGAGCCCTGATTTGGCACTGTGTAGGATATGCACTGGACTGCAAACCACAAGATCAGTGGTTAGATCCACCATTTGTTCCTCGGAAAACTTATACAGAGTCACTATGAGTCGAAACCTGACAGCACTTAACAACAACAAACAACATCCCATTCTTAATCCTTATTGGTGTATCACATCCAGTTACATCCTGGGGGATAGCTACATCTCAACTGCCAAACCACTGAGAAGCCTGGCCCAGACAAGTTGACACAAAAACATTTGTATATAAGTATGTTCACATGCATTGGACTGTTAACGGCAAGGTCCGCAGTTCAAATCCACCAGCTGCTCCGTGAGAGAAAGATGAGGCTTTTTCTCCTGCAAAGATTTACAGCCTCACAAATACTATACAGGGTTGCTATGTAACTGACAACACACAACAACAACAACAACGACAACAAGATGTTTATGTACACATGCTAAACTCTCCATAGGACAGAATCTCCTCAGTGACGTTACTGAATCATAGAGTGAGAAGACCTTTAGAATCAGTGAAACACTAAACACAGATGTAGTCACAAAGACTTGCATTCTTCGCATTGTGTTGCCATACACAAATACATTTAGTCCTATATTAGATTTTACTTTGTTTATTTTTATTGCACATTAAAAATACATTGTGAAAAGAATATACAAGTAAATACCACAGACAGTAACGTCATGGACTGATGATCCAGTTATCCTTCCCTTTTCCCTCCTGTGCATGTATGCACATAACCATACACACACTTTTGTAGCTAAAATTGCTGATCAAAGGGAATCTGTTAGTTGTTTATGATCCTAAAACTAGTAGCAGAACTGGGACTAGACTCTAAGCAACTCAGTTTCCGTAGTCGTGGTTTTTGGTGCCCAACTGTTGTTAGTTGCTATTGATTCTTGATGTAGAGTAAGGGTTTAAGCTTTTGGCTGGTAGCTGAAAGGTTGGGAGAAGCACTTGGTAATGTACTCCCATAAAGATTGCAGCCTAGAAAACCGTATGGACCTACACCTGTGGATGCTGTAGCTCAAAAGAGGGACAAATCCTTATAGCAAGGATCATCCCCACCCCCTCCATACACAGAGTAGACAGGGATGGGCAACCTGGACATTGGCTACCCAAAATGGGGCGGGGTGGGGGTGGGGAAGCTACAAAGGCAAGAAGTGACTGGCTTACAAGCTTTCAAGAGGGAACCTAGATTCATAGGGCTTGGAGGAAGGTAGAATCTCCACTGAGTAGTATACAGTCTGTCTAGGTGGGGCTGATGAAATGAAATGCAGATAGGTCTCTTGTGATACAATAGTGAATAATTGTTATTAGGACTGCTTGTGAGGGTTGGAATTGTAAAGGTAGACATTTTGTAGCAAGGAGGGGAGTGATTAACTTTTCAGCATAGGAGCCCAAGGTCCCTGGGACCGTGAAGGGAGTGGAGAGCGGGACCCTATCCAGAGAAGCAGTGATGCCTGAGATGGAGGCAGAGATGATGACATGGAGAGATGGAACTGTTGGGGACTTTAGACACAGAGAGGGAGAGGGGCTGTGTGCTGATGACTGGGGGGCAGGCTTGTAGTGTATACCCTTTGGTTGGTTGATGATGCATGGAGGGAATTGTAACCATAGCAAGGAAACGATATACAATAGGATGAATGTAAAATTAATGTTCTCCCATGTAAACTATCACATAATTCATAATAAAACATTAAAAAAAGAAAAACCCTATGAAGCAGTTCTACCATATCACATGATGTTGCTATGAGTTGACATCAACTCTGTGACAGCTCACAACAACAAGAATTCTTAACGGAGATAGATTGCTTCCTGCTGGATGGTTTTCAACTGCCAACCCTTAGGTTATCCACTGAATGTAAACTGCTGTGCCACACAGGGCCTAGTCCTGTTAGTACAGTCGGCTTTTTGGTGGTTAGTGTGGGTGTGTCTCATTTTCTCACCTGTTAGAAATAATTTACTCTTCTTTTTTTTCTTTCTTGTTATAGATGACATCTTCTCATCTGGTACCCAGGCTAAGACAACCAAACCAAAAAGTCAGTCTTCTGTGTCAGTGCCTGAACACAAGGTGTCCAACATATTTGATGACCCCCTGAACGCCTTTGGAGGCCATTAGATTGTACAGGGTCTCCCGAGCTTACCCTTCTGCTTCAGCTTTGAGTTAATAATGCTGTCTGATATGATCATTGTCTTACTGAATTATATAAAACAAATGTTAAAACAGCTAGCTCACCTCTTATCCAATGTGCTTTGTATTTTTATGCACTGGTATTAATAATCATGCTTAATACTACAAAATAAAAAGTGTTTCACAGTGATGTTTGTGTCTTCCAAACATTTATTTTTTAATTAGTGTAGGTAGGGCCACAATGTTAGAGAAGAAACCTGCTTGTGGCTTTCACGGCTGGACAGGGAATCATGGCTATGAATATGAGACAAATGGCTAGCAATTTTTCCTGGGCATGTGAAAGAGGGAAAGAGAACAAGAGATTCTACTTTATATGGCTTAAACAATGTGAGGAAACGAAAAAGAAACCAACCCTATAGAACAGAGTAGAATTACTCCATAAGGTTTCCAGCGCTGTAACTATTTACCCAAGCAGTCCGTCTCACCTTTCTCCTGCGGAATAGCTCGTTCGAGCTGTAGACCTGTCTGTTAACCCTACACAACCTCCTGTGAGAGCTTTCTGTTAATTCCATGGAATTCTGAAGATGCCTCTGCGTGTCTTCTAAGACACAGACTAACAAACTAAAGGATTAGTGGAACACAACCACATTCATTCATTGACATATTGCCTATGGTTGCCACAGAGACCGTTGTTGTTAAGTGCCATCGAGTTGAGTCTGACTCACAGTGACCCTGTACATGTGCAGGGTTACTGAGGTTACAGATCTTTATAGGAGCAAAAAACTTACCTTTCTCCTGCAGAGCGGCTGGTGGATTCCAACTAATGACCTTGTGGTTTACACATCAGGACTTCTCCTAGCTTAAAACCCACCAAATATTGACATCAGGTTGATTCCAACTCATGAGCACTTGTAGGACGTAATAGAACTGCCCCATGGTTCTCTAAAGCTGCAATCTTTATGGAAGCAGGATGTCACATCTTTCTCCTGTTCAGTGGCTGGTGGGTTCGAGTAGCTCACCTTTTGGTTAGCCAAGCTCTTTACCCACTACCAGAGTTTACAAAGTCAAAGAATGATTTCTGTCTGGCCCTTTAGCGTTTACCTTGTTCTAAGGCATCCATTTCTGTTCCTTGGAGTTTTAAAGAGAGCAATAATGGAAATGAATGGCATCCTCTAGAGTGGTACTAGGAGCTGTGGTAGCACAGTGGTTTAAGCACTGGGCTGTTAATAAGCAAAGTTGGAGATTCGACCCTGTAACACTCCTTGGGAGAAAGATGAGGCTGTCTGATCCAGTAAACATTTTTAGCCTTAGAAGCCCAGTGAGTCCTTGTGTGGCACTGTAGGACAAGCACTGGATTGCTAACCACATGGTCGGCAGTTCAAACCCACCTATCGCTCTTGGGAAACCCTATAAAAGGTCGTTATGACTCGACAGCCCTTAACAAAACAACTCTCTTTAAGATTACTATGCACTGGAATGGACAGCAATGGCTTTGGTTTGGGTTTAAAGCAACACTTAATTTAGCTTTCTGCGATGATAAAAAAGTTCTGTTTCTGCTGTTGGATATAGTAGCCTTGCCACATATATCTTTTATCCCCATTTTGTGTGTTCCTGTGGTGTATTATCTTAATGTGGAGTATTCAATCAAGAACCTTGACATGTAGACCAGCCAGGTTAGGGTCACCAATCCTGAAGCCATCCTTTAGGTACTTTATTCTTTACTGCCTCAATATTAAAATAGAACGGGAAGTTGCACAAACCTAGAATAAGCTCCCACAGACAAGCTGATCCCCCTGTTGTTTCTCCTCTCTTAGGTTCTCTTATTTGTAAACAACAGGTTTCAGTGCCAACCTTGAGAATTGAGATGGATAGGATATATATAAATAACTACAGGATTGTGGTGAGAAGTGTCTGCTACTTGGAAAATAGATGATGAAGATGATTTGGCCCAGATAACAGAACTTCCATATTGGAACCCAATACTTTAATCTGCCTGACTAAAACCTGTGCCTGAAGTGGGGAAGCAGAGGTTAAAAGCTGAGTTTTTTAGAGTATGGTATACAAGGACGTGGAGTCCTGGTGTGACGCTGTGGGCTAATGCATCAGACTGCAGAGTCGTTTGAAATGCAAGGTCAATAGTTCAAGCTTACCAGCTGCTCCTTGGAAACCCTATAGAGGGTTGCTATTGGTCAGAATTGACTTGACGGCACTTACCACCACCAACAACATACAAAGATGTGGAGTCCTGAAGTGGCCTTGTAGAAGAAACAAAGTTGGTTTGCACTGCCAAGTAGGCCACTCCTCGGAAACCCTATACAGGGTCACTAAGTGCCGGAACCTACTAGACAACACTTAACAGCAACAACAATACAAAGATGTAAGGACACAAACTGAATGTTCCAAAATGGCCAGGCTGATGTCAACTCAACCCGCATTTCCTCTCCCTTACCCCTGTTCCAGCAATCTAGAACGGAGCCTACAGCCCCCTCCTCCTGCTGTGTATACCCAAACTCTGTTCTTCAGGAAGGGGCAGGCAGGCCTATACGTTTGTGTTTTCCTACCTCTTCCTTGTTCTACATAACCACTCTTAACTGCTCTGATGTGTGTGAGGCTTGTATACCCCAGGATATAAAAAGACCTAAGCCCTACCTTAGCCTCTTGCACATAAAACTTCACTGTCCAGCCAGACACCGTTAGAAACAGCTGTTTTTCATCCCTTGTAAATAAATTTCCCTTGTTGGCAAACAAGCTCTTTTCTGTAATAAACTAATGTCTCTCAGATTGGGTTCTAGTTGTTTTTGTTTTTTTTTTCTGTTTCTTGGTCCTTGACCTGAACCCCAACAAGAGATGATTAAGATCTATGCTTGAAAGCTCCAGTATGTTTAGCATTAAGCATATATACAAGTTAAGAAAGAACCAGTGGCAAGAGATAGTGATGCCCACTACCTCACCATAGGCCCCAGTGTTTGCGCTACTGTTTCTTGAATTGTAGAGATAAATTGTTGGGTGGAGTCTCAATCTCAGAAAATGAGATGGGATGAGAGACAGATTAGGTATTGTCATTGTTAAGTGCCTTCAAATTTCAACTCATAGCTACCCTTTATAGGATTTTCAAAGGAGTAGCTGGTGAATTTGAACTTCTGACATTGTGGTTCAAACTGACTTTGTGGTTCAGTAAATTCTCCCATAGTGCCACACCAGGTATTGGGGTTCACTTTATTCTTTTCTTTTAACTCTTTATTGTGAATTGAGTGGTTTGCGGACAAGATCATCAGATTTACATTCAACAAATTGTACACTTTGTTTCATCTCGATTTCAATCCCCTCCTTGCAACAACAGTTATCCTACTTCTTCCCTGTGGCTCCCATTAAATCTGTTATTTCAAAAATGAACAAAGCAAAAATATTTGATATATACATACAAAACAAAAAAATATTCATTGAGATGGCTGAAGAGCACATTCTGCGAGCCAGCTTCCTGCCCGCAGGCACACAGCCTTACTCAGTCCATGGATCTAGAGCCTGCAGCTGCTCTGTCTCTCCATTCCTTGGCCATCGGCTCAGCGGTTACTGCTTTTCTAGGTAGAGAGAGATCTCATGCTCCATTAATGCTCTTCCTCCTTGATGGTCCTGGGTCTCTTGTTTGAAATGAAAGATTAACTACTCCCCCCCTAGTTACACATCTTCTACAATTACAGTTGTAACAACCACAATTAATCCTGCTAACATTGACTCACAATTGAGTCATAAAATCCTATCACCATCATCCCCTAGCCCCTTTCACCAGACCCATCTGGAAAATAGGGAAACTATTCAGTGGGGATTCTACCTTACCCCTCACTCTGAAATTAAGCACACTCAATGGAAGCTTGTAACCAGGCACTTCATGCCTTTGTTGTTAAGTGCTGTTGAGTTGGTTCCCACTCAGCAGCCCTGTATAGGGTTTCTGAGGAGTGACTGGTGAGTTTGAACCACTGATCTTGTAGTTCAAATTGACTTTAAGGTCCAGCGCTTTATCCTGTAGCACCACACCAGGACCAATAAATAGCATCATGATAAATGCAGTGCCACACCAGGACTTTGTGGCCACCTCCCACCCCCTTTTTTTTCTTTATAATTTTTATTGTGAATTGAGTGATAGTTTACATGGGAGAACATCAGTTTTACACTTGTTTCATTACAATGATTACAATCTCCTTCGTGTATCATCATTCAACAGTATTTGCTTCTACTTCCTGTCTTTTGTTGTTTTTTTGGGGGAGGGTGGGGATGTACACAAAAACACTTAGGTATATATAATCATTTAAATAACCAAAGGGTACATTCTGCAAGCCTGCCTCCTGGATGCCAGCATTCAGTCCCTTTCTTTCCATGAATCTAGAGTCTTCAGCTGCTCTCTCTTTATGTCCCCATTTCTGCCTCCATCTCTTGTGTTGCTGCTTCTCTGGATAGGGTCCCACATTCCACTCATGCTCTTCTCCCTTGATGGTCCTAGGGTCCTCTGTTCCTGGATTGTAAGATTAACTACTCCGCTTTTGTTACAAAACTTCTACCTTTACAGTTGCAACAGTCACAATTAGTCATGATAACAATTACTATTGAATCATAAGAATCTTACCCTCATCTCTTTTCACCATACGTGTCTAGACAAGATGAAAACTATTCAGTGGAGATTCTACCATATCCTGCACACTCTGAAATTAAACTACCTCTTGAAAACTGTAAGCCAGTCACTTCATGCCTTGATAGCACCCCCATTTTAGGTAGCCAAAATGTCTTAAGTTGCCCATCCCTGTCAACCCCAGAGGGGATAAGATTGATAATTGATGTGAAGACTACTTCCCTCTCAGTTGGTATTTTGAGCTACTACATCCATGAGTGTAGTTCAAGCCCCCTCCTACGCCCCACCCCATTTTTGATAACCAGTGTCTGAACTTCCCATTCCTATAAAAAACAATCCAGTACATGGCGAAACAAGCTTGTTCCTT